ATCTGTTCATTTAGTTCAATTCAGATTGTTTTGATTCCATATTGACACTGTTCAGGCACGGTTTTATTCAAATTTCTTATTTTCATTCCCATTTTTTCAGCTCAAGTTGATACTTGGTAATGTTTTGCCTTCTTTATTTAGCTATATGAAATGGCTGTATGGTTTGATCTTAGCGCTAGCGGTGATATTGTTGTATTTTCGACCGCTGCTACGTCATAGGAACACTAGTGTTGTGAATGTGTGGAAGTTAACGAAAGCGAGCACCTTTTTCGATTCTCACAGGTTTGTCGAGCTTCTTTCATGATCATGCGGTGATGTCGAAGGGTGTTTTACAGGTATCGCAACTGCTCCTTGTCGACATGCCTGCGCTCCCAACGCTGCATGCTCGACTACCAAAGGGTTTCCGTGTATATTCAGCCAATAATAAGGATTGTTGACGAGGTAGGTTGCTATTAAATCAACGGCACGGTTTTGTTTGGTGTGAAAATCGGGAGGGCAGGGATTCTTGTGATGCAAATCACTGTTTATTTATTGCAAACTCTCACGGTTGGGGTAGCCGCGCCCAGGGAGGTGTCGCGCCTTCGCCATGAAGCACTGACTGTTGACGAACTATTGAGGTACCAGCGGCTCCTGACACCAACACGTACATCACACGGAGTTTTAGCTATATGGAGTCGAGCAACCAGAACTTTTGATTTTATCCTGTCTTCTTTGGTGCACAACCCACCCACCAAGCATTAAGCGCCACCCAGCTGAGAGCATGCTCCGCTTTAGTCAAGACTTCACTCCTTTTGGGCACCCCAGCGCTTCTTAGGCATCGTCGCTCCTGCCTTTTTCCGATCTCTAGGACTTCTTAAAACAAAGATCAACTTTCCTCATAAATCGGAGAACGCTCACTCACCCTGTGCGCGAGCCTCCATCATCTCGTCAACCGGCCTGTTGCTCACCTTTACCCATTTTCTTCGTTGTGAGTTATCCTAGAATCCACATCTCGCATGTCGTGGAGGAACTGCGCTATTCTCATTCTCCTGTGCAGCCTATTTGTACTTCTTAATCCATGTCCTGGCTCTCCAAGTGGTTCCAGTTAGTAATGAGTTCCGAAATAGAGAAACCTAGTAGTCAATTAAACTTCTGTCGACCTCATGTAAGTGTTTTATAGGATGGGAACGTCCTCACTCCTATTCCATCAAAAGAATTCCATGCTATTCGAACACTGTTGCTGCCCTATTCCGTTCCGGATCCTCAAAGAGCTTGTGTTTTCTTTCCTGGCGTCGATTTTCTCAATCTCCATCGATTTCCTAGTATCGATGTTGCACATGCTGTCGCTAACATGATCAATGAAAGGTGCGATGAACGATCGCTTGTTTTCAACACATCTTAGGGTTTCATTATTATTTATTATTACTACTTATTATTATTATTGTTTATATTGAGCAAGCTCTCATGACATTTAGGTTTTACAATGCTCTTATATTCACAGTCATCGGACAGTGGAGGCATAGTCATCGTCACATAATGGCGAGGTTCGTACTTGCTCTGGTTTGCTTGATCTCCAACTTTCACAGTTAATCGTGCGCGTTTGTGCTGTTGAAGAAATCCGTTATTTGCAGCCCCATCATCCCGCTCCATCTTTACCGACACCGGCTGGATATATCACTACCGCCATATTTCGGTAACCTTCCTGCTATCAAGCCCTTGACGTCACCAACACGAAGCAATCTGTTGGTTATGCTATTCAATGCGTCCTCATCTTTCCGGGAAGAGAGCAGTGAAGCGTTTGCTCATTCACCAGTGAGTTTTATATTATGAGATTGGAATAGTGATGAAGTCTTTCTATCGCTTGTAGAGTTAACAACAAGAGTGAATTCGCTCATCCGGTATAAGAAAATGGCCAATTTCTAATAATTTATAAAGTCATGCTTGTTGTGCCTATTTCTTATCGATTTTTTCCTCATTGTCCGGCTGCTTTGGCGATTCGTCACTTTCATCTCTTAATTTTTCGAATAATCTCTCTAGACAACCCAGTTCTCTTGCTAAACCAAAACTGGAGTGTCGTCAATCTCGAAGTAACTTCAAAAGAAGTCGTCATGAATGCATAAGGCAGGACCAATATCTGAACTTAATCAAGCGGTTTGCACGTGTGACGCGACTCACAAATCAGTAGTCATGTTGCAGTCAACGTTGCCCTGTGGTTGAGATTACCGGCAAAAAGCCAACAGAGCGCTTTTTGACCTATCAGATTATTTCCCTGCCTGTGCTATAGAGATTTAGGCAGTCCCACGACGTCAAGAGCGACCACATTTTTTATCGAGATAATGATGTCGTTGTAGCCATTTATGTTTGACCTACGAGATGGGATATTATCGGGTTAATTTTTCTTAATTAATACCCATCAAAATATGCTGTCAAGGATGTTAACATATTCTCCTGAAATGTTATCGATCCATCTGAAGTGTGCGAGTAAGCTGCTGAAACGTTGTTCAGTGAAAATATGTTGGCTAGTTTGAATTTTCCCTTTCTCCTGGTGCAGGCTTTTTTTTTCACGAGATAGTTACAGGAGTCCAAGTTCGTCCTCATCCACGAGCGAATGCCACATTTCAAACTTGCATTGTACAGGGCTTTGCAGTCAACTGTTATTCCTGTGATATTCGTGCCTAATAATGCTTGTCCGTTTTTCCAGATTATTATCGATGGCACTTGAAGTGTACCACAATTTTATTGAAAATGTCATTACCGCAATCGCGTGAGACAGCAGCGGCAGGTTTTCTTGGTTGGGCGGGTGGAAAAAATATAACGTACTTAAACTGGTTAGTTCAGGTCTCAGCACGATTGTGTAATCCCTATTAATCCCTGTCCCTAGGCGTGTAATAGTACTGGTAAATCAAGGGTGATTAGTGGTCGGGGAAGCTCGGCAGCAATATAATTTTTTGCACTCTTCCATATTCCTTTTCTGTCATATAATGCCAATTTTGCTGAAGTGCGCCAGTCTTCCTTCAAATCATTCAATTTGGTATCGGCGTATTTTTCGCATTGTTGATACTCGCATATACTAATTCGAATACTTCCCTTTCCCTACTTCAAATAATGCGTAACTTTAACGAGAGAAAATTACTTTCTAGCTTACTGTAGCTTACATACAAGCAAATACCAGGGAGGAAGTTGATTGACATGTGGCAGTGCCAATCAGTCGTTTTACTTCGTGGACTATCTGATCTGTTTTTAAGTATAGACGCCAGATTCTATTCTTTGCCACGGTTTTTTAATTTGTACATTAAAAGCGTTGCAATTATCAGTTTTGAAATGGCATTTTGGGCTTGCTGATTTGCTTCTGTCAGATTTTGAATCAAACGTGATACATGGCTCTCGTTACGTTCCTTTCAGTCTTGCTCGTGTTATGCGGTCATCACATTCGTTTGAGCCAACCAAAGTGAGAGAATATGCTTCAAAAATCAGAAATCTTAGGATCTCGTCTTTATTGTTTTAATACGACAAATTCGCGTGTTTGGAAATCTAGAATCTACCGATCCAAGCATTCTTCTCGAGGCCAATGAAAGACTTATGCCGAGAAACGACGTTGTGTAGCTCATAGTTTAATCGCTACTACTTATCGGTTTCAAAAAAGAAAAATTTGGTCTCCATATATGTGCAGTCAATAGCACGATACGCTCATGTATTCATTAGTTAGCCAAACTGCGCGTGACATCAAACTTTTTAGCGGATTTATTTGCGTATTATCAATTGTCAGTCGTTGATCATTAAAAAAAACGAAATGCAAACTATCAACATCTTGTCAGATAAGGTTAGCGCTCTTGTCTGATAAGCCCCCTAAGCCCATTCAAGCGAAATACTTGGATCAATGCGGATTTGCTTTACACATTTATAGTAATACCTACCTAATTTGCAAGATTCGATGCATTGGTCACGATAAGAAAATGCCACTTTGAGTCACGTCCTCAATGCGAACCTCTTACATTATTGAAAGCAAAATTGTTGAGTCTCTACAAAAATGCTGAGTACTGGATGTGGGGTCGCTTTAGTTGGGTCTTGATCTCAGAGCTTGTGCTTGCGCACTAGAGTACTGTTTTTCAAAACAGCACTTGAGTTCTTCACCGAAAAACCTGGGTTCCGGGTTCGGTCCATTTGAGGCAAAACCTTGCACACAAGTCAGCGTCCCTTTGAGAACATTTATAATGCAAACTGTCGAAAAGCATTGGTTGACCAACAAACCAAATCAAAACTAGGGGGGGGGAGGGAGGGGAGGGTACACAGGGTAGCTCAACTTCTTTGCCTGGCACTACTTCAATTATTTTGATTGTTTTTATCTAGAACTATTTTAGGACTGTCCCTGCTTTGACTCGTAATTTTAAACCTACAGGCGGCGCACCCCGCTTTAAAAGATCACTGAACTCCTAGCTAGGGAAGCTATGATGAAGCATACTGTTCGTAATGGGGTATGCTTATAGCAATCAAAAAAATCGCAACCGTATATAAAGTCTTAAATCATACTTTCCAAAAATAGCGCTGCTTTCAGTTCATAATGTCCTATCTATTGTCCGCTGTGAAATTCCTTCAGATTTTACTGTCAATAGCCGAATGTCTGATTGGATTTTACTATTTTTGAAATTGGATGTAATGAGCTTCCTCTGTGCCATCGCATGGATTAAAAGGTTCTGTTCAGCCAATCTCATTACCTCATCTTGAACCGGCACCTCAATTATTAATGGTGGTTTGGTCCGACTCGGTGAATGCTGTCTATACCCAGCAGGATCTACGTCAGCTTGCGCCATCTCAGCTGATATCATCGGTTACTGTCATTTGGCGAGATGATGACAATGCTCCTTCACGTACGTTTTTATACTGCTAGACAATGCATTATTTTTCGCTTGTTTTCTGTCTACAGATTTAATATAAAAAATCGCTAAATACCCAGTTTCATCATCATTTCTTGTTGTTTTTTTTTCTCAAATTATAAGTGTGGTCTCTGTAAAGCATATTTCCTGTTGTTTGTAAGCATTCGCAATTGCAGACGATGGCTGGGAAACAACGATTCCTGTAGAAATTCTCACTGGCGTGGAGCGTTTCTACGATATACGCTCCATTGTGAAACAGAAGAAGAACGACGTTCTGCTGATTGTTCCGAAGGGTCGATGTGGGCTTGATATAAAAACCTTGCGAAAAGCGGTAAATGTAGGTTTCTCGTTGTTGAATTGCCTTTTCTTCAGTGGCTATTACCTATACGTTCTTACAATGCAATACTTCGGCTGTTAAGAGATTTATGTTGCACTCGAACATGAGAAAGAAAACTCAGAAACCACATTGAAATCTGAAGACTTGACCAATTTGGACATTTTTCAGATTCTGTTAGGCTTTAACCCTTGTACCTATGCTTCTTTGCAGATTTGGCGAACAGTGCCTGATCGAAGGGTTGTAATTCACTGTTCCGGGTCACCTATGTTGACCGTCACTATTATTCATAAGGTAATTTAATTTCTACTCATTATCGGTGTAGTTCATGTTCTTCCATTTTCCAGATGATTCTCTCGCCATCGCTCAATAGTGACCAAGCTGATAACTGGTTTTGAGCAAATGATTGAATTACTTGATGTTCATCCTAGTCTACATGTTGTTACTCGGGAACAAGCAGATGGTGGGTTCTTTTAATGTTCGCGGATGGCTCACTTTTCAAGATAATGAGGAAAGTGGAGAATTCTCTAAAAGCGGACGTAATTTTGAGCTGGCTTGTTTTGAGCTACATATTGGAGATCTGTAATTTCCTTCTTAGCCTATTAGTTTTTTTTTAATTTTTGAGAACATGGAGAAGATCGGAAATGATTTTAACTTTTTCTTTCAAAATGCTTTAGTGGCTTTTTCGACTTCTTTCCCTATTTTCTGCCTCTTCCCAAGGAATAGGGAATCGTGGACTCCCGCTACACTGTAAACGTCTTTGCTTAAGTTGACATGAGAAAAGAATAGTTCAAGTCGTTGAACCATTCAAAATATGTGTGCCATATTGCCACAAAAGTTGACGGTAGCGTAAAGGTTGAAGTTAAATGAATCTTGGTGTTTTCTACTGTATTTTATATCCATTTGGAGTCTAAACTTACTTACCTCAGTAAGTACAATCGAATTGAGAGATTGGCCTGCAGTCAAGTTTTCTCGGACATCAGGGACAGTGTTACCCATTTGGTTCCAGTGGAGTTAAATTTTTTAATTTTTTAAGCCACTGAGAATAGAACATAGATCTATTGGGCTTGAAACCTAATCATACATTCGCATTTCGCAGAGGAAACTTCTCCATTGAAGATACTGTTGATGAGTTATTTTTTCCAAAATTTTTGCCTATTTATCAATTCACTCCTCTCTTCGTTATCTTGACAGGCGCTGTCCCTTGAAAATAACGCTTAGGTGTGCTAAGCAAAGCGTAGCAGCAGAAATGTCCCTCTATCCGAGTGTAGTTCGTACTTGGATAAATAAACAAAAACCGTGCTGTTGTCAGCGACAAACATAACGATATTGTTGCTGTTTTCACAAAAATTTGCTAACATCACACTATCCATTTCTCAAATTTATTAACCTTTGTTCTGCTTTATCAGCCAGTTTCTTCGTATCTATTACCCTATTGGGGCGGAGGTGGCGTAATCGCAAGTGGAATCACTCGCCACGCGAACTGCCCGGTGCTTCGATCTTCGTTCTGGCCAAGAAAGTCTTTTATTTATTTGAGATCGGTGATTCGGTTCCAATCTCTCTTGACATGCAAAGGTCTTAGCTCCGCCGTGGCTATTTGAGATGTGATATACACTTCTGTATGGGTCTAGGAACCACGATATTAGTCTGCCTCCAAAACTTTGCTTGAACGCTTTCTGAACCACGGAGTCACGAAATTGACTCCTTGGTGTGATGTATCCTTTGCTCCTCGCCACCAGTATAGAATTTTAGTGTATTTTTACGTCAGTCTAGCTTGTGAGCAACTTCTTAAAAATTTGGGCACTTTTGCCCATGATTGCCGAAGCTCATAGCGCATGCACCCGGTGTTTTGAACGAGTGCGATATTTAAGCTTAGAAGTCAGGTTTACCCCGATGGTGACTTTTACTGCATCTGAGATTTCTGCACAGCCCCAAAAAGATTAAAAGGTTTCGTATCGTTAGCTAAGCCGTCGACGTAGAGTTTTCGGGGTATGA